GTTCTGAAAACACAAGCTGTGAAGATGCATGAGAGACTACGCAGTTCATCAGCCTCTTTCTGCTGGTAGCACACATCCATTACCAGTTTTGGGTAGGTGTGATAGGCAGCAGTAGATGGAAAGAGATCACAAATTTAAAATCATCAGAGCTACTCTCCTTTCCCCCTTCCTATGGCTTTGGTTTCCAACCAGTCTGGGCTTTGCAGACAGAGGAATATGAACAGAAAACCAGAATTCAATCCTCAGATTGCTGAGAGGCTGTTGGGCACAGTCCGGAGCATGTGGCAGTACATGGAGGCCAACAGAGATCACACAGAGTGGTATCTGCTTGAAAGATTCCAGGGTTCAGTACTGGCCAACTGGCAACTCAACACCAAAGCCTTTCATTTCCCCCACCTAATCCATATTATACATTTTTCACCCAGGAAGAGGTGGGAAGAGCAACAAGTGCTACTTTGAACACGCTCCAACACTCACCAATGTCAAGGGAAGGACCTTTGTTTCAGCCAGGTAGGGATCTGGCTGTTAAAGAAATAGCATAAGCAGCACTACGTTGGTAGCTCGAGGTGCTTTGTCATGTTACCTGTGATATCCTATCAGAGAGGAAAACCAATCTGTTGAAAATTCTTTTTTAAAATGGAAGTCAAGGATTTTCTTTATCAAGGGGTATTGTGAAATGGTAAGACCCTTTGAATAGCTTCAAGTACAAAGCATGGGACCACTCTTGAGATGAGATACTGATTTTCAAGCAGATATTGGAAAAGCCGTAAACCCAGCAATAGCAACAAATTGGATGTGGGGTCCTTGGGCCTCGAGCATCCGGTCAGAGCTGCAGTCTGTAGAGAAGTTCACACTTCACTTCTCCCATGCCCATGCTCAAGGGAATGGGCAGAATAGCTGCAAGAAATGGTATTTTATTTAAGAAACAATGAGAGAAGTTAATGTGTGGCAGATGCCTGGAGAAATCCCTCTCTTCAGATAAATCATTGAGGATTTCAAAACTGTAAAGAGATTGCTCTCGGGTCATCTCATGTTTGCAAGGGAACTCACTGACTTTTCACTCAAGGGAAAGGCTTGGCCAAGGTCTGCTAGTCAAAAGCTGCTGCAACTGCAGGGGGGGACACAGGACATTTTTAGGGCAAAAGGCTGATGTTCTAATTTGCTTTCCAATGGGACTAGAGAGCACCAACCCCCGGGGTGAACTGAAACGTCAACAGCCAGGCATTTCTCTCTGTGGATTAGGACTTCTCCTGTTATTCCTTGGAAGAGGAGACTGTCTCAATACACTGTGAACTTTATGTGCAGTTTTAGGTGCTTCTGCAATAGCACACAGAGAAGCGCAAAACACTGTGTTTCTGTAGCAAACTGTGCGTCAAATGGGCTTCCAGGGAATGCAGGAGAAACCCAAAGGGCAATTACCAGTCTTGGGAGAGGCCAGCCCAGATCTACTGCCCGCTAACAAAATTAATTGACAATGCCAGAAAATGCTTTGTCAGTCCTAGAGTTAAGCTGACTGATGGCAGCAACCAGAGAAGACAAATGCAGTGAGAGAGAACATGCAAAGCCATCCTGAAAGCTAAACACATCCAGCTTGGCTTTGCTGATGCTGAGCTTTCAGTTCTCCAGGATCACAATGGTAATACGTGCCTCTTGGGTTTCAAGTGGGTTTCAAAAGTTTCCCTTAAACTCTTGAGGATGCACAGGCCATGCTCAAACAAGTATAGAGCAAGCTTCAACTCTAGTGGACAAAAATCAAAGCAGGAATGAAAACCAAATGCTTCAGAAGAGGCCCTGAATGCAATGGGTAAGAGAGAGCTGTACTAAAAAATACCTATGGAAGAGAGAAGGAAAAACTAAACAGAAAGGTATTTTTTTGTGGAAAATTATTAAATGCAGATCAAACGTGGAATGCAAGCAAAAGGTCAGGCTGAAGCCCCATCTGAGAAACCAGAAAATGGGATTGTCATATGGGTGCTGTTTAAGAAAAGATTTTAAAGCTTTTCACAAGATCAGCAAAGACAACAGGCACAGACTCTTGGGCGGGAGGGGGGCAATGAAAAGTGGTCACTGCAATTGCAGATGGAGGGCAACCAGTAAGATAATGGTTAGAAAACAGAAAATAACTCAGTACATGTGGCAGGTTATTACCGGGTGTTGTGTGTAGAAGCTTACTGATGGTCATTGAAGATGCATGGGAGACACTGAGATGATCTTGTAAAACACCGTGGGTCCATCACCTGCAGTCCAAGTTTAGAAGAAAAATAATACAGAATCTAATCATAGAATCACACAGAACAGTTTGGGTTGGAAGGACCTTCGAAGGTCATCTAGTCCAACCCCACTGCAATGAGCAGGGATATCTTCAACCACAGCAGGCTGTGAAGAACCACATCCAGCCTGGCCTTGAATGTCTCCAGGTGTAGTGCATCCACCACCTCCCTGAGCAACCTGTTCCCACCTCTTGGATTGCCTACAGCTTGCCATGCTACGTTTCCAGCAGATGTCAGGGTGGTTGAAGTCCCCTGGCAGGACAAGAGCCTGCAAGCGTGATGTGTCTTGTAGCTGGAGTAAGAAGGATTCATCGACAGTCTGTAGTAGGCACCAATCACAAGGTCTCCCTTGTTTCCTCAGTCCCCGATTCTTACCCACAAGCTTTTGACCTGCTCGTGGCTATTCTTCAGAAACAACTCTTCACACTCTATACCTCTCTTGATGTAGAGGGCAACCCCCGCACCCTTCTGTCTTTGCCTATCTCTTCTCTTCTGAACAGCCTGTAGCCATTGACAGCCGCACTCCCGTCATGGGATCTACCTCACACAGTTTTCAGTATGTGGAGGCAGAAACCTAATCTCCAAGCCAATAATGGAAAATGGGGAAATACAGATTTCAAATAAACTTGCTGGGCAGAGGGCACACAAATAGACATTAACTATCTAACTGCAAACAGTTGAACTCAAAGTGAGAAATAAATCAATCCCCACTGATTCAGCTACAGGCAGAGTCAGCTCAACTGACAAGCAGCACAGGAAACGAGTACTAGGATAACAGAAAATCATGGAGGATGAAGAGGTGGCAACCACGTGTAATACAGATATGAAAATGCGAAACATATTTCAGGTAAGCCTAATACTGCTAATTAGTAAAGGAGATTAAGCAATTGAACCTGGCCAGCTAGACTATTATGGTGAAATAAAGCAAATGGCCTCTAACTCCAGTAACACTGGTGAAATAAAGCAGAGAGACAGAATATGGAAGAGGAAGGAAGGCTGTAGCAAAGCCATGACAGAATAATTATGAACAAAGGGATGGATTTTTTTTTTTTTTAAAGGCAGATTATCTGCAAAAATGACCTCGTAGCAGAAAAACCGAGTATGTCAAATTTGGACAAAGCACTCCTGGCCAAGTTTCACTGAACAGCCCAGTATCAGTCAGAAGACTGACAGCAGCGCAGTACATTTCCCTTATCTTGGTTTCTCAAGAAAAACCACCACTCAACACAGCTTGTAAAGCTAAACATCATTCTTGCACAAGAAAACAAGTCAGTAATTGGAAGCCAGGACATTCCAGCTCTATATTATGCCACAGACCATCTGACCAGAAAGTTTTAAGCATGAAATTTAGACTGTAGCATGCAGAGACGTGACCCTACTTGAATCCATGTTATGCTGCACAATAGAAATAGGGCAACCCTTTTTCCAACTTCAAAATTTACTTTTCAAGTAGTATTTAATCTTTGCAGAAGGATAAGAAAACTTTTCTGAGGATTAAAAAGACGAAGGTCTGCCCACAGCACTTGTAACATCTTTGCATACACTTTAGAAAATAATCTCCATTTATTCTTCTGAGGTATGCTTCATGTTCATAATTAACTTTGGAGCTTAGGAGATTCTCCATGAAGTTATAAAATAGAACAGAATCATAAATACATGTGTCCATTAACTCAGAAAAAAATGCAAAGCGATGAGCAGACTTTGGTCCTTATTATGCCTTCTCCTACTAGCAATATGGTTTACTTCTCAGCTATATCTTCTCCCTGATTTACCATGGGGCACGTACATAAAAGTAGGATCTCATCCCTTATATGGAGAGCAGTCAGCAAGTACCAGCATGTTCTGATGTGAGGGGAACAGCTATTCCATAAATCTGAAACATGTTCTGGACAACAGCAGAGTTTACACGGACCACAAGAATTATAGGAATTAACTCCTCTTTTGTTTACAACATTTAAAAAGAGAGCTAGTGTAGAACCAGCAGCGTAAGGGGATAACACAGCAGTGACATGATCAAACTCAAAGGACTGAAATACAAACTACGCACATTTGGAAATGTTTCACACATTCTAAATATAAAAGAAGAGTCTCTTTTTATGTTTAAGTTCTCCTACTTAGGAGGAGCTGATTAAACAACTTATCTGGAAAGCCAGTAATGTAAACAAGCCTGCTTTCTGGAGCAGAGGTGTCAAGCTTCCTTCTATTAGAGGGTTATTTTAATCTTTTATGATTGTTCACCAACCAAGCTAAGCACGTCAGGCAAGAGTTACAATTCACCAAGAATAAATGGATTTTTTCAAGATCCACACTCAAGCAAGGTCCTTTACACCATCCGAGCCACCCTCTTCCCCCCGAATTTCAGAAAGGGGCATCTGGGTGGTTTCCACATCTCCAAGCCACTGGTTGAGTCCATCTGCCAGTGTGGGCAAAGGGTGCCACATCTGTTACACTGAGAACACTGCTATTCACCAACACCACAGCCTGATCTAGTTTTTAGTAAAACTTTAGATTCAGCAGCTTCTCCATATGCCCTACAGATCATAAATACCTCAGCCAGCTGCAGCTCTGAGGCCATGTATCTGACACTTCCACTCCAGTCTTCCACATTGTTTTAAAATCTCAGCAATGACCTTTTAGTGTTTCATTTGGAGATTATTTCCTGTCATCACAACACTTCTCTCTTGACTTCTCTTGAATTAGTTTCAGGTCCAAACCTAATCTAAGCTCCGGTATTTTCAGGCCTCACCAAATTTATTTTATGCTGCTCTCTTTCCTTTGATAGGATCCTTGCACATGTATATAATATATATATACACACATTATTATACACATTTTATGCACACGCATACATATGTTTAATAATAGTAGGCAAAAGACAACTGGATCCTCGTCAAACCAAGCCTAATGTGAAGTAAAAACCTTCATGTGCCTGAGAAACATCTGGGACCTAAAAAAGCAAAGGCAGTTACTTACCTGTGAGAAGAATGTGACTGAGGCCATTTGTGTGAAACCACAAACATTTATTTTTAATGAAAAAATACTTAAAGTGTGCCACAGTGCCATATTTTCATTTGAATAGTCGTACAAAGATATGTATTTCTGAGGAAAAATCTTCACACTGTAGAAAATAAATGTGGTTCTTAAATTATGTCAAAAGAAACCTGTAAAAAAGTCATGTTTTATACACTGGAATAAAATGAAACAATTAGCGATAATAATAAATTATAAGTACAGTATTTCAAATATTTGCTTCATGCTTTTTCAGCATTAGTTTCTAAATGTGTCACGTATAATATTCCCTCAGAAACCAGCAGTCAGAATGGCCTTTCAATGGTACTGTGGATAACAGGATGTGGAGCTGAATAAAGTCCTAGAAATGATACCACCGTTTGTTATTAACTGATACATAAGACATCAGAACATGGCAGTTTTAGGTTTGTATCTAACATATATTGTTGTTAATGGAAATTAATATTTTTTTTAATCAACTGAACTTTTATACTTTAATGAATTGAACAGCAATTATGGTCATTAAGTATGTCACCCAAGCACACTGCACAACTGTGCTTACAGGATGCTACACATTGTATTGGCTTTTTATACAGTCAAAGTTGACAAGAGTTTGGAATCATGTCAGGTCTAATTAAGCACTGCAAAATGTTTAAAACCATAAAGTGCTTTTAAATACAAATAATTTTTGCTCCTTAGAAATAGGAAAAAATCCAAACATGCACTTAAACCTGAAACCTCCATGCCCTATTTACTAAAGTTTAACAGTAAAACATCAGTTTTGTGCCACTGGTTTTAAAATTTCCTTTCCCATCCCGCCCCATCCCCAGTCAAAAATTCAAACAGCGTCCATACTGGATTTGTCTGTATCTTCTTGGTCTTGTTTGTACATGAAGGTTAGAAGGAAAAAAGCAATATCCAGAGATGACCAATAGGCAGTGTGTGATGTGACTGCGGACCAGTATCTGCTCTCCACAAGACCTTCCCTGAGCTCGAAATCAATCCTGTGCTCCAGTTCCACTAGAAATTGAACAAGAAACAAAAATCATGTTAGAATTGTATGTCAGCAGAATTAAAAACACCAGTGAGTTTCTCATAAGCTCTGGGTTCTGATTCTACTTGCATATAAAGTACTGTGGCAGATACACCTGCCCTGACAAAGACCTAACCAAAGCCCATGAAAGCTCCCCACCACAGACAAGAGCCTGGGAGAGCTCCTATGTGCACTGCTCTTGTCCCACCCTCATTGTGGTGGTCAGCAGATACAAAGACGAGAAAGCTGGGTCCTGAGCCAAGGGAGGGCTACGTGACCATGTCTAACCACAGCTCAGATTTAACCAGGGCAGAAATGGAGCCCCTTAGACACTGTCCAAGGGAACAACTCAAGGTTGAGTGCCCTCCCTTCATTAGGTGAGTGATTGTGCATCTTGGATCACTGGCCGTAATGTTTATGAATCAGCGGTATAGTAACAAATCCATGTGACATCCCAAATTTGTAGTTGGTACTTACAGGAAGAGCTTTAATTGAGTTTGAACATTAAGTTTCATTTAGACTCAATTTATTTGTTCTGTGACAAATACACAAAATACCTCTGTTTACATTTAACAGTACATTCATTATTAAAAATTACAGTTGATTTAAATGTGCATATACTCTTTGATGCACACGCATTTAGCACAAACCTGACTTAAGAGTGCTTAGTTCAGAGGGGAAAAAAAGCGGGGAGATAATTAAATCTAAAGCTTGGAAAACCCTGGAGTTTTTTAAAGCAGCTCTTTTCCTTATATAAATACATATAAATACGTTTATTTATACTATACAGTCTATGTCCACTATGCAGAAGTATCCAGCAAATGTTGAGGCCCCATTAGGAAACACCGAATTTCAGAAGGCAGATGCTCAAAACATTTTGAAATAAATGGACTTCTTGCATCTTTAGAGGCTCTACAAGGGGACTACACAAATATTACAAGCCCTTTCTGAAAACCAGCCATCCCTATGGCACACTAGCCCTTTTAATTTCCAGATTATACCACATGTATTTCAGCAGTTATCCTTTCATTTCAATGGCTGCTTTGATTAATACCACATTTAAAGCAATTTTCACTGCATATTTAACTGGGCCATTGCCTAACCTATTGTTAAGGCATTTTAGCAGTTAGAAAATCTCAATGAGGAGCAATAGAATAAAAAGGACAAAACTAAAAGCCTGCTTAGCTACAAAAGCCAAAACCCCATATTGAGTAAAAAAACGCAGCCATTTACCAAAGCCAGTTTTCCAAGGAATTTTAATTCTTGGCTCAAAGAGCACATAAAGCGCACAAGCGCTGCCCCAGCACAGCAGTGCTCAGGGAATGACATCCCTTTGTGTTTTCACAGGAGTGTTGCAAGCACAGCGAGGAGAGGGAGTCAGAGCCTTCCAATACCAGGAGATGACCACAGTCATTTCCACTAGGATGCACATATTCAAAAACCCAGTTGCTCTGCAGGAAGGACACCCCGAATGGTTCCGTCTCCCTCTAACGAGAGGCCGTTACAGGAGCTTGGGAGGCAGCCAAACCCCACAAGCTGAGCGTCTGCCCTCTCAGAAGCAAATGCTTTTGCTGTGGATTGCATCACTCAGTTTGCTGCCTCGCTGGCCTCTGCTCCATGTTTGCCTTCTATGGAGCAGGGACAGGCTTTCAGCAAAGAGGGATGCCGGAAGCATGCAGAAAGCCCTGGACATACCAACCCCCTTCCCTGAAAAGGGGAAGCTGCACAATGTTCTCTCTTGTGCCACTGTTTTCCTCAAGTTTAAAACAAAGGCTCTGTCCTCAGATACTGACTTGGACAGGCTATCTGTTGAAATGAGCAGTGATGAACAGACAGCAGTGTATCATATGAACGCTATCACAAGATGCAACATACTTGGGACTCCTTAGATTGCAAAAAAACCCCATCTTGCAAGAGTGTCAATGGGAAACTTATAAGTTTAGAAATAGAATCAAGTATGAATTTCTGTAAAGGAAGTACCTATACTTAAAAAAATAAAAAATAAAAAAATCTTCCAGCTGCTAAAATTTCACTTTCTGTTCTGGGCAGTTCAGATCAGGGCAAGGGCAGCTTCTGCTTTCAGTCATATGTGCCTTTAAGTACAGATTGCTTCAGAATTACAAATGTATGGGGAAATTTAAATCATTTTACAATAAATGGTGAGGGGATTCTCTGCAGCAGTCATATTGCTTTTCCTAGGAACTACTGATATGCATGTATCATTAGCCAAAATTCATACATGACTACATATAGTGTACATGTATGTACAAACGTATATACAGATAAACCTTCTTTAAGAAGAAAAAAGATTAAAGGGAGAACAAAAAGTCAGTCCTTGGACAGTCTTAAGATACTCAAAAAGCAAGAACAGATTCAGTACAGAATCATAGAATCATAGGATAGTTAGGGTTGGAAAGGACCTTAAGATCATCTAGTACCAACCCCCCTGCCATGGGCAGGGATACCTCAGACAAAACCATATCAGCCAAGCCTCTGTATTTAACACTTTAGAGCAAACCAACAAAAGTAAATAGTGGCACATGTTGTTATAGTATTTCCAGCTTCCCACAACACACAGATGTAGCCCACTGAGGGTCTTGTTTCCACAGGGTTTGGAAAGCAGACTCGCCACTAACCTGCGGGTTCAAGGAAGCTCGAGCTGTTGCTGTGCAGTAAAAGGGGCTCCCCAGCCACTGTGGCCTTCTTGTCATCCTCCTCGGCTCCATCTTTTCCTGCCTCGAGTGTCTGCGGGGTGGCTGTACTAGATCGACCAAATCTTGAAAAAAGCATCCCGCCGAGGCCCTTCCCAATGCTTGCAGCTCCTGCATTCAAGAGGAAAACAACATAAACCAGGGCAGCTAAATCAAACCACAAATTAAAGTCACTGCAGCACCCATCAATTAGAGTTGAGTGACAGATGAAGGAAAACACTATTCATGCTCTTCTAGGGTGGGAACAGCTTATCTGACTTAAGTGCATGCTGTTTATCATGAGACTGGCGTACAAGCAAAAACTATAATTTGGAAATTGCAGTTATGGGAAAAATACATAAGAACATTTCTGCAGCAAGAAATCTGGTACTTCTAAGGATATGTCATGATTCCCCTTTCACAAAAAGTCTAAGACTAGGACAAAAATGCTTTGTAACAATGTTAATATCTTTTGCATGCAACAATCCCATCAGGACATTTAAGACAGTCCTCTCATTAAGGGTCCGTATGTTGGCATCACCCTTATAGACATTTAGAAATGCTGTATGATCCTTTAAAAGGACTCTTTTGGTTGCTCAGGAAGAGGGCTGTAGAAGTTAAGAACAGATACGTGATGTTTTCTCTCGACTCTGCTGCCACCTTATGGACAAGACATTTAAAGTTACTATAGAAACAGCAACAAGCAACCCTGCTTTGAAATACCAGGTATTTCTACTTAAGGACTAAACTGCTTTTATATACTTAGTTGACTGGGAGGATTCCTGGCATTAGTCTTCTTCCAAATCCCACAGAGAGAGCCAAGATAAGCCTTGAGACAACAAAAACTGCAAGTACATATTCAAATATAAACTCCAGTGAAAGTGAATTTAAGCTCACTTAAACCAGGGCTTAGTTTGAATCAGAAAGCTAGGAGACAGACTTCATAATAGAACAGCCTGAATTTCCTACTTTGAACTCATGAGTTCAATGTAACTGTAATAGTTTACACAGAGTGATCTTTCTCCTATTTGCCAATACCAGAAAACAGGGTCACAAACCAAGCTTTAATTGATTTTTTTTTCCATGGAGTGGAAACTATTAAATCACTAGGATGTTACTTCAATAAGGCAGACAACAATGAGACAGCAATAGCATAAACTCCCAGACCCACAACCTCTCCCTGCAAGCCTTGACTCTGGCATATGTAAACTATGTTTTCTTCAAAGTAAATGTCACTTGAGATTAAAACAAGAACAAACAGAAACAGCCAGGAATAGTTTACTTATGGTTGTACCTCAAACATCACACTGCAGAGCGGTGAAGCTCAATAAGAAAGTCCTATATATAAACCAAAAGAAATAAAGAACAATTACCTAATATACCTGCTTTGCCTATGTTTGTTATAGACTCCCCATAGGGGCGTCGAGCCATGACTGGTGAAGTAGTTGGGCTTGGTACAGTTGACACACTTTCACTATCGGTAACTGAGGTAGGTTCTTTTGTCGGGTTGAGAAAACTTGGCTTCATACACTCATAAGGTAGAGGGTTTACAGTGGTGTACCAGTGGATCTGGACAGGCGAAATGTTGCTGTAGTGTTTCAGAATTAAAGGTTCTAATCTATAGGCCTGCAAGAATAATACAGAAAAGAAAATCCTGAGTATCAAAACTGAAGAAGCATATTTCCTTCCATACAAAGTCCTCTCGAGCCCCAAATCCAAAATATCTGTAATGAGTAAAGCCTAGAAAGTGACAATATGGTGGGGTTATATTCTGGTTCCCTTTTATTTTCACAGCTTAGAAGATGTATTAGCTGCCCAGTTGCTTGTGCATTCAGTTCTGCACATTTTTCTGCCACACTTCGACTACATGTTATGAATGCACACATTACTGTTAACAGATGTTTGTTATTATGCATCGACAGAGCAAATTTAATTTAATTACAGTGAAGCTGATTCTGCACAACACAGCAGAGAAGGAGGAACTGGCTATGTAAACACTTTGATGACTCTTCATTGATCTCTGTGCAAACCATGAATTGGTGTGCTTATTTAAAAACAATAATTCTATCCATTCTTTATTTTTCTTTGTTTACATAGTTATAAAAAAAACATTCTGCACTTCTTTATCTTAAAACTAAGGAAAATTACTATTTGCAGAGTGGGACCACAGACTGCAGCTTCACCAACTGCCCCAGATGTCCCAGAAAAATTCTGGTTTAGGAGTAGCTTGAGCTGAACAAGATCTTGAGTTGAGCAGAACCAACACGTTTGGATTTGGAATATACCCAGATTCAGGTAGAGTTTATATATACAAAAGTATTCCCAAATTACTATTCTACAGTCAGAACGAAATTGCAAATCAAGCTTGCATCAGAGAAGTTACCAACACAATGCAGATCAAAGTTCCAGCATCCTGCCTTTTGATAAGGGCAAACACTGGCTGCCTATGGAAGCGTGTAAGGATAGGGCAAAGCTATACCAACACTACTCTCCCAAGTACTATCCAACCCTCTAACAATCTGTTACTCAGGACCCTTTGGTCAAAAAATGGTGTCTTTGTTTTTCCCATAGGATCTTATGAACTGCTTGTGAAACCTGTATTAACAAGCAGAGTATCTTAAAACAGATGATGCTTAATGGAAGTCAGTAAGTTAAACACAAGTGGGACCTTGACCAAGAAGGATTATTTCTCATGTCTCTGGGGAAAAAAAAAAAAGCAAGCACATTTGAAAACCACACATTATCACACAGCGGATGCTTAAAAATAGTCAAGGTAAAATATTGCAACTGAGATTAAAACTCACCACTGGATCTGTTGGGTGAAAAATATTTAGTAAGCGGTTACAAATTGTCCTGGGCAGAATATGGTCTTGACTACCAGAGTTTCCTGGACGGATGCCACGCAATGCCAAAAACACTGCTAATGGAGATCCCATACAGAAGAAATTCTCTACCTAAGGAGAGATTTCATACACATTAATAAGGATGGAACTTACGCTTTCTTTCTAACATAACTGGTTTTGATTTGCATCTTTTGACTGATTTCTCAGTTTCAGCTGAGGACTCCTACAGTATTAGTAAGTGAAAATGAGGAAGACCATTATAACATACCTGCAACATACATACTATAACACAGAGGTTACACTTCTCATTTCCCTCTGATGTGAGAAGAGAATTACATGCTGTGGTGCTAAATAGCTGGAAAACTGAAAAACAAACTGGATATTTGAGCTGAAAGAGGTCTACCAGCACTGGAAAGGCTGGAGCATAAAGAATTTGGAAGACACTAAGGAAATGTGGTGAGTTTCACAAGACTGAAGTCTGATTTCTCATGAAAATTCCCAAGGCTTACCTCACCTCCTTAATTTTACCCTGAGTACTCCATGATTTGCTTTGCTATATAAACCCACTGAGGAGATAGAGATGGGTATTAAAGACAACCTAGAGAATACTTAGTCACACACGTACAGGCTGGTGCTATGTACAACCTCTTAAACCCTCCTCCCCCCACCTAATGTTAAGTGAACAGGATAGTACCTGTCAAAAGTGGCACATCATCAAACACTGGGAGCCACTACCCAGGAATGGGTACGGCACACTGAGCAACTCTGCAGGCTACTCTCATGTCATCCAAAGCTACTATGACTTTGCTGTAAAAGGACTGCCTCTAACACTGAGAAGCAACTGAGTAAACCTGAACTGCGACTGCTAACCTGTCTGGCAGAGGATGCTGAAGATGCATCAGTGGTAATGAGTTTTGGTCACGACCAAACTTGGGCCAGGATTCCTAGAGGTGAATGGCTTTGTATCCCATTACAAATCCTCAGACATTGTCTCCTAGAAGCATTTAATGTAAAACTCTAGTAAAAAACATTTTCATAAGTCAAAATTACTTTTTAACCTTTTATTGTGGTTTAAACACCAGAACCAGGACACCTTTAGGGTACCTCCTTACATGAAAAATTAATTCTACCATTACCAGACCTTCAATGCAACTTTTCCCATAGTAGTGCCCAGTTTACAGAGCATTGCAGCTGAGCAACTCCTAATGCACTACTTAACCATCAAGGAAAATTGATGTGTTCTTGCTAAGTGCACGTGAAGGAAGCTTAGATTCCCATGTGCCTTCCCTATATGTCAGCACATGGAGTGAGGGTGTAGAAATAATGGTCCATTTCATCTATCAGATTCCAGCACTGCACAAAACATTCCTCCTCCTCTGACTTGGCACCAGTACCCCTCCTCTTCCTTCCAAAAGAATGCACAAGTCCCAGCTCAATGGAAAAGAAAAACTAGGTCTTCAGCAAAGCTATCCAGTGTCATATGCACAAAGCACTTCTCTGTCATCTGCACTGTCACCCTAGTCCAGTTCAGAGCTGCTTTCCTTTCTTATAATCGAGCTTTACACAGACCCTTACATTTTTGCAGTTTGGACAAAAAGCTTTCTCATCTTCAAATACAATAGAAACAGATATTCACAGTGCAGTCCTTTAAACTAAGTAATCTTTAACCCTGTCCATCTGATATGCTAGTATTGAGGACCTGAAGTACACAATTAGGGGGCTTCTGCTTCAGAAAGCGTTCAGAAAGTGACTGCCAGCTTTCACTTGCTAGCAGAGGCACAAAAGTTTTCAGGAATTCACCTTAGGCAAGTACAGACTAGGCAAAGATCTCAAAAAGGAAGTGGTTTCAGTGGTTACATAGCACATGGCTTTTGTTCCATCGTTTCTATTGATGAACAAAAGATTAACGGTGGCCACAGACAGATGCTTTCTGCTAGGAGGCCACTGTTCTACATACGCTATTATGTATTTTCTTACATGCGCAGCTCTGAAAATACAAAGTACCAACTGATGGGTACCTTAACGGGTGGTACCAGACCAATACCAAAGCAGTTAACACTAAGAATCCAAAGTAAGCCTTCCAAAAATAAAGTCCTTTAAATTACAGAATCACAGAATGGTTTGGGTTGGAAAGAACCTCAAGATCATCTAGTTCCAACCCCCTTGGCCTTGGGCAGGGACACCTCCCACTAGATTGTGTTGCCCAAGGCCCTGTCCAGCCTGGCCCTGAAGACTGCCAGGGATGGAGCAATGGGAATTGCAGCCATTAGATGATTTTCATCACTGTTGCAAAGTGGCTGAAGAGAAGACTGCCATGTGCTGGAAGCTACTGGGAATAGAGGACTAAAATAACTAGAAAACATTTATTAATTTTGGTGTTTCTCCTATAAGCAGGAGTGGGGCACCTCACTTATATTCCTCTAAATGCTTAACAACAGAGAAGACATGTCAAAGAACATGACCTTTCAGGATAGCACTTTTCTGCTGGTTATGATTCATAAACAGCAGGCTTAATGAATTTATTTGTATTTTAAGCAGCAGCTGAGCCAAACAGTCATCCATTCAACTTAAGACTGCAGTATGTTCAGAATTAATAACACAAAACCAAACCTGAATGAGCCAACAGGAGTGAGGCAGCAAAGCTCTTTTGTGCAGAGGTAAGCATGTGGGACAAATGAAAGTGTTTAGTGGTGATGTTAAAACAGAAGACGTAGAAGTGCTGTGTTGCCTTTCAACACGGAGGATCCCAAACATCCTCCCAGAGTGAGGAAATACAGACCTCTGCAGCAGCCTCTACCTATTCCTGCACCCAGGAACCTTCTGCAGCCTTAGCAGACAAAGGGAACAGAGACTTACACCAGTATTACATGGGGAATTTAACTGGGTGCTTGCGTGTTGAACTACAGTGGCACATTTCTGCATTCAATTTAAAGGCTTCCTCCTCCCAGGTAAGGCTGCATGTCAGCATCCCATTAAGCTCTCATAATTCTTGTACATGTGGTAAATCACTAGGATCTTGTAAATAATTTGTGATAGTTATCAACATTGACATCACTGTTTGATGATGCTCCATAGAGACCACAAGGTCATGTACAACCTGGAGCTTCTCCCAGAAATGTTTCTGTAACACTGGGTGAATAAGAAGTGCTAAGGAATCTTCAAGCACTTTGGGTCAACATATTGACAAGTCCAGATTTAACTGATTTTTTATCCCAGTACTATGAAGCAACTGAGGTACCTCCTGCCCTTCTTTTCTCTAGTGTGGTGGAAAATTCACCCTACGACTCACAGACAGACACCCAGCCTGACCTGAGCAGTGATCTGGGCCTTCTGAGTAACTCCCCCCAGTTTCTATACTGGGCATGACATGCTGTGGTATGAAATACTCCTTTAACTATTTTGGGCCAGGTGTCCTGTCTCTGCTTCTTCCCAGCTTCCCGTGCCCCTCCTCAATGGCAGAGCATGAAACTGAATTGATTGGAGTAAACATTACTTAGCAACAACTAAAACGTTGATGTGTTATGAGCATTGTTCTCAAACTACCGTCAAAACCATAGCACTGCACCAGCTACTAAGAAGGAGAAAAATAACTGCTACAGCTGAACCCAGGACAGTCATCCAGGGAAACTTAATTTGTTTCAGTCCATAAAAGAGGCAACACAGCGACAGCAGCTAGCCTTTTTCATTACAGATGTACATGCCTGTTTCATTGAGTAATACCACCTAAGGAGATCAGTGACCAAAGACTCCAGTCTCTGTATTGCACAGACCAAAGTAAATCTCTGGATCAAGCATTTGTGGTGAATAGCAACTCATGATCAAACCAGAGGCTCTGTTCTGCCATGAAGAGCGAAGGTGCTGGTAGTGCACAAAGCAGTTAAGTTCTCTTTCAACAAGCTAGTCACACTCAGTAAGCTGGACTGGCTTGCTGACGAGCTGTCATCTTTCAGTCATCCTGTTGAAATCCTCCCTTGGCAGAAGCACTTTGCCCTCATGTTCATGGAAAGCCTCACTCTTTTCAGAGAGTGCTCTTATGGTGCTGCCTCAGGTATGATACACTCCCTAGTGTAAAGCTTCACAGAAACAGAACATACTCCTTGCAGTAAGGGTAAGAAAAAGGATGTACTACAACAGAAATTACCTAGCAGTAATTTAGATAGATTTCTTCCCCCTTTCTTTTCCCCTCCTTTCCTGCTCCTTCTAAAAAGGATCTGTTAAAAAAAAAATAAAAAAATCTCAGTTTAAACACAACTGAGTGAAAAATAATCACCCACAGAGCTGGAGGTGTATCAGCCTGACTCCAGCTTCCTTGATGGTAGAAATAATGGTGCAATACATGCTTTTAAAGCAGTGATGAAAAGAAAAAGGATATGACAAATTGAATTATGGATAGTTTTCTTTTTTTTATGGCTCAAGATTGACCTTGGCTTCTAGAAGTCCTTCTGAACTCAGAATGAAATAAAAGTGGTAAGTTAAGAAAGAATTGTTCTCATCTATCATGTCACATTTTAATGGCTTAATATTTCAGGATATAGTCAAGCAAGTAGAAAGTACTGCACATAGAAGCACAGAATCATAGAACAGTTAGGGTTGGAAAGGACCTTAAGATCATCAAGTTCCAACCCCCCTGCCATGGGCAGGGACACCTCACACTAAACCATCTCACCCAAGGCCTTGTCCAACCTGGCCTTGAACACTTCCAGGGACGGAGCATTCACAACCTCCCTGAGCAAGCCATTCCAGTGCCTCACCACCCTTACAGTAAAGAACTTCTTCCTTATAACCAATCTAAACTTACCCTGTTTCAGTTTTAACCCATTACCCCTTGTCCTATCACTACAGCCCCTAGTGAAGAATCCCTCTCCAGCATGCTTGTAGGCCCCCTTCAGATACTGGAAGGCTGCTATGAGGTCTCCATGCAGCCTTCTCTTCTCCAGGCTGAACAGCCCCAACTTTCTCAGCCTGTCTTCATACAGGAGGTGCCCCAGTCCCCTGATCATCCTCGTGGCCCTCCTCTGGACTTGTTCCAACAGATCCATGTCCTTTTTATGTTGAGGACACCAGAACTGCACACAGTACTCCAAGTGAGGTCTCACAAGAGCAGAGTAGAGGGGCAGGATCACTTCCTTCAACCTGCTGGTCACGCTCCTTTTGATGCAGCCCAGGATACGGTTGGCTTTCTGGGCTGCAAGCACACACTGAAGCTGGCTCATGTTCATTTTCTCATCGACCAGCACCCCCAAGTCCTTCCCCACAGGGCTGCTCTGAATCTCTTCTCTGCCCAGCCTGTAGCTGTGCCTGGGATTGCTCCGACCCAGGTGTAGGACCTTGCACTTGGCATGGTTAAACTTCACGAGGTTGGCATCAGCCCACCTCACAAGCGTGTCAAGGTCCCTCTGGATGGCATTCCTTCCCTCCAGCGTATCAACCGAACCACACAGCTTGGTGTCATCGGCAAACTTGCTGAGGGTGCACTCAATCCCACTGTCCATGTCAGCGACAAAGATGTTGAACAAGGCCGGTCCCAACACCCATCCCTGAGGGACACCACTTGTTGCTGGTCTCCAGCCGGACATTGAGCCATTGACCACAACTCTTTTGTGTGCGGCCATACAGCCAGTTCTTTATCCACTGAGTGGTCCATTTATCAAATTGATGTCTCTCCAATATAGAGACAAGCTAGAAAATGCCTTTTCTCAGTGATGAGATATTTTAGCAATTTGTGCAGCTGATTAGCAAGCAATCTGTTTCATGAGGCTTAAAGTAACTTGTGCTGTCAGATCAGAATAACTTGGAAGGAAAATCCACTGCTGGAGGAAATTCAATCAGATTTGCTCAGAGATGCGACATGTTAGAAGGAATCCCCAAGGAAAACGGGTTAGTCAACAAAGTAGAAGTGAAATTGTTCAAGGGATGAGATTAATGTAATTTGCCAAATGGCTTTTACCTTCCCACACAGTTGTATGTGCATGCATAATATATTATCAATCTGTATTCACATTTATATATTTACATATAAACATGTATTTGTAATAAATAGTACCATATGAATACATATACATGTTTACACACACCTACAACGCTTCAAACAATACATTAAAATTATTCTACCAACATTATGTCTAGGGACACAGAAAAAGGAGTAAGTAGAATAACTCTTACTACAGGTATATTTTTACAGCAAGTAGCACATTCAGGGAAAACCTCTCAAACATACGTACCTTAAATTTTAAGACAGGTGGTTCTGATATGGTGGATGCCTTTAACCCACGTAATCTCTCTCTTATCTCTTTCAACCTAGAAAATAGAGATCTTTCTGAGATCCAATAAAAAATGTAGCTTTAACTTCTCTGATCCAAACAGGCATTCCTGTGGGGTCCAGCAGTTTTGTTTGCTGGGAAGAGAGAGTGATGGCATCAGTATTTCTTGGAGGCAGTCCAATTGATTAAAATCCAATGTATGTGAAATCTTGTTTCTCTGACCACAGAAGGAATCAAACAAGACCTGACCATTTCCTTGTTGACCACCCCAAGCATCTGCCCACCTTCCTTCCTAAGGAGTAGGTGACTCACCTCCTTTTTTCCTTTTTCTGTGGGGTTTTTTTTTAGTTTCCCCAAAACAAAGCCCCAGGAAACTCCATGGCCCAAGCAATGAAGTTCTGTACTGTGGTGGAATATCTGGAGGGCAGTGTCCCACCCTTTCTACTGTCATTAAAAAAGGTTGTTAATCTTTCTTCTGCTTCGCCTGAACTTAAAAAGGCAGCTACAATATTAAACACTCACAATGGACTGAAAAACTGTCCCCAGTCCCAACACTAGAACATTATGCCCTCTTCAGGGCAGGAGAACACCATTTCCTCAAGTTCCACAAAAGTGTTATGTAAACAACTTAACCTCTGTGATCTGATTAGAAAGAAGCAAATCTGGAGCTAAAACTTCCCAAAGACATCCCAGTACTTTCAAAAACATTTGTAATGCTTTAACAAACATGAATCAGTCTTTAAAAATAGAAGACATGCAGAATTCGTCACTCCTGTGAACTGTTTTCAAAGGTTCACAATACATCTCACATGCTGTATGTTATTCTACAGTGTGGAATATTTATACATGCTGTGACATGCTCTACTTAGACATAAGCATATCCAGAAATCCACTATGTGTTTGCCAACCACACAACACTAGAAATTCAGAAGTTACAGAAACTAAATGGTATATCTTCTATCCCTTCAGACTGAACTGCACTAAGATGGCTCACAAAATGGAGAGTGACTATATATACAGAAGTGCCAGTATCAAATAATACTTGTATTACTGCAGATGCAACCTCAAGCACTCCCCTAAGGAGCTGGAGCGTGCACGTGAAAACAGTAATTTTCCCCTGATCATATGCTAGTGATATGCCTGAAGGGTCATCTTACCACTAGACAAGTTCATTAGGTTTCTTACTTCACTTCTCCCAGAAATACTGCACTTTATCCAGCCTTGCAGCTGATGCAGATGTCCTGTACCAATCCCTAATTATCACATAGTGCTTTCCAGCACAGCAGTAGATTTGATGCTATATTAATGCTTCCAAAATACCACCAATACTAAGATAGTTTTCAAGAAGGAATCAAAAAGAACTGTGATCATGAGTTATCCTCACCTCCTACTTAAAAGATTGAAGCTCAAGTAGCTATTACTCTTAGATTCTCTATCTATGGGTGTCTCACTAGCACAATACCCAGGTTAGGACAGGGAAGCCATGTGAACACTGTGGAGATACCATGACGATCTGCAAGGTCCTCTAACACTGAGAATTCCTACTAAGACTTGCAAAGGCACTGAAACTGAGATCCTGTTTCTCACAGTGGACAGTGCTGCTTCAAGCTCCAAACAGCACAAACATTTCTATATAGCAGCAGGAAGCAGCTAGTAAATGAACCACAGTGAAGTAGCAACCCTGCAGGCCCAATTACAGCAATTACAATATCTGTATCTAGCTGGTGGAGCCCAATTTCCAAGCTGAGGCTAGGAGAAAACTTCTCATTTTCCTCTAGAAACTTGGGAATTCACTGCTCAGGTTCAGCTCAGTATTACATCTCACTGCTCACCTGCAAGCTACTTTGTTGTGCTTCCCCTTAAGTATCTGAAGGGCTAATGGCCTGACTTGCTCTTTTCTTCTGGCCTATGATCTGCTCCCAGTGCCTCTGGTCAGTGGGCAGTAGCTGGTTGCTTGGTTCTGATACAGCCCCATGTGGCTTCAGAGCTCCTATAGTACCAGCTCCCTGTGCCTGCTCGATCCTCTGTTTAGCATTTAGCATTGCCATTCAGCACCGGCAGAACATCAGCCACAAAAGGTAACGAGCATGGTGGGATCTTACAAACACTCAAAGGGCATCATCTGGGGATGTGGTTTTCTCCTTTAACAATCAGAAGTGAATGCATTACCGGTTTTTAGTTATGTGAAGTTCTTCAAGTAAACGTTGCTCTTCATAGCTCATCCAGCTGTCTTGAAGTTCCTCCTCTTCCTTCTGCAGCAAGTGTTCATAAAACCTGACCGGGTTCCAGCCCGTCATGATGTCATAGGTAATGACGCAGCCCAGTGAGTGGGACACAATTGAGACTTTCCCTCCTTTCTCCTCAAACTCTGGATTCCGGGCACAGAAGAGTGTGTATAGCCGGTTCAGCTCTTGCTGCAACCCTTTCACTAGCTGTTTCAAGAAGATAAAAAAAGTTTAATATCAATATTTTGTTACTCCTGTTCATATATGTTCAGGATATATATTCAGGTCACTGTGGTACAGCAACCAGCTTCTTGAGCATGCATGTAGGATAAGGATCACAGTCAGTTCACTTAGGCTGGGGAGATGAGGAAAATCCTATGGCGAGTAGCAACAGCTTGGATGGCTGTCACTGACTCCTTTGGTTCAACTCTCCCCCTACAGATTCAGTAGCAACCACGGACAATTAGTGACCTTAGAATTGCTACACTACACAGTCCAAAGCATTGAACTGAAATAAACCCTTAAACAAATTACATCTGTGCTTAAAGTACTTAACAGTATCCTCTAAGGTGAGCAATAGCAAGGTACTTGCTTTTCAGTAGCATTCAACTAGCACAACAGTGATTATTAACACAGGTGTATTTCCCTTCTTGCTTGTTTCTCCCTCAGTTTCCCTACCTTTTCAGAGCACTGAATGTTTCTCCTGTTTCAGAGATTCATCTCCTTTTTTAACCTAAGGAGGCTGGAAGAAGCCTGAGTCACACATGATCTGAAATCAGCTCACATCTCTGCCACAGGCTTCGTACATAACCCTAGACAAGACATACTAGCTCTTCTCCATTTATCAATGTGAGCAATAGAATTACTACATCAGTGTAAGGGACTGGGAAGATAAATCCACTAAAATGAATATGTTCAGATACTACACTGACAGCCTAAATGGGCTCTGGGAAAATATCCTCAAATTGCTTTTAGATCTCTGTGAAGCATACTCAAGCGCATCAAGTCTCATTATTCTTCCCACTGCTTGTCTACAAAGAGATGCAGCTTTCTATCCTACTTTCCCTCCTACCATACTGAACCTATTGCAATTTCTTCCAAAAGAATTACAATGAAATTATGGTGCTGAAGATTAAAGAGCCTCATTTCAGGCAAAAGGAAAACAGAGGAGGAGAAAAGACACAAATGAGACATGTAGAGCCATAATTTAAACATTTTATATAAACAATGCTAAGAAAACTGGATGCTGGGGAGGGACTCTTCATTAGGGACTGTAGTGACAGGACAAGGGGTAATGGGTTAAAACTTAAACAGGGGAAGTTTAGACTGGATATAAGGAGGAAATTCTTTCCTGTTAGGGTGGTGAGGCACTGGAATAGGTTGCCCAGGGAGGTTGTGAATGCTTCATCCCTGGCAGTGTTCAAGGCCAGGTTGGACAGAGCCTTGGGTAATATGGTTTAGAGCGAAGTGTCCCTGCCCATGGCAGGGGGGTTGGAACTTGATGATCTTAAGGTCCTTTCCAACCCTAACTATTCTATGATTCGAAAACAATTTTCTGGCTATAGGTTTCTAGGAGAGGTTTGGGGTGAAAAACAGGAATGCAACATGGTTCTCAAACATCATAGACTAATCCTATAGTACTACTGCAACAAAAATATACTGGTTCTATGTTGATTGAGTCTCTGAGAAGCTTACCTGCTTCAAATCCTGCATCTAGGGTACATACGCATGAAAATATTCAGATTCATAGAAAGTATATTTTAGAGAGGAATGTTGGAAGCCATGAGATCTAGGAAACAGACAATGTAAAAAAGGCTGCTTTGCTTGTGAAACTCTGCATAGTAACTGCGCAATACTTCCAGGCTATGGCACAGAAGGCCAAACAAGAAATTGCAAATCATTCCCTTGTTAGAAACAGGAAATTAAAGCCCTAGAACATGTAATTTGAACATGATTTTTCAAGACCCTGAATCATTACTGAATATAAATATGAATGGCACTAGGGCTGTCAGTGTTTGATACACATTTTACTGAGTGAGAATCCACACATCAAACCCTGTGCCTAAAGCACTGTGAAATGATTAACAAAGCCTTGCAACAGCTTAGCAAAACAAGTATCAGAATAACCATTTCCAAGTATTATTGACTGTGATGCTGCCTATTCTTGCATTTGGCTCTATAGAGACTCTGGGCACTACTTTCAAACATGAACACACACAGAGAGGTTATAGCAAGATTTAGAACTGAAAACAGAAATCAGGACTAGCTTTGGCCGGCTGGCATTTGCTCCATTTAAAAATGTCTTGATTAAAACCTTGAACAAAATAGCAGGGATCTGTTGAAATCAAAGGATTTTGGGATTCCTGACAGGAGCTTAGTGAAGTGAGGGAATGCTGATACCCAGCACGGAGCACGGGACTGCAGCCATACAGTGGATACTCTGGACGGACTGGCTTCAGAGTTGGCAGTGTAAAAAAAGCCAAGCAAACTACTGCTGGACTCATCACGGCCTCCAGCATCCATCAGTACATCAGGGAGATGAGTAATACCATCTGGTTTGAAAAAATCCTCTAGTAATATATTTCAGTGCCCCAAATATTTTCTCTGGTGGGAAAAGACACACAACTACTCATCTACCTCCCTCTGCTTCTTCTTGTGTAAAAAATACCACTCCCAATGTCCTTCACAACTTGCTCAACAAGCCTATTTCCCTGGAAAAGCAGGTATCTTCCAGGAAGAATGATATATCAGTCTTCCCCACAGCCCATTGACACAGTGCAGGTTATGTAATCTTCTGGCATCCTGGCATTTCATGACAAAGGTCTTGTTCTCTTGCAATCAGAGGGCATAGGACAGAATATTCAGGATAGCCCAACCCTATTTTTCAACTGTCCTGCTCCTTAGAAACATGCTGTAACTGAGACCGCGACTCAGAAACTGTGCATAAATTTTCAAATAGCCACATATTTGGAAGGCTGCAAACCAGAGTCCAAGCATTTAATTCAACTAGATCATCTGATCCAGATTGGTTTTAAACTCTGAATCACTTGTTACCTAACTTAATTGTAGAGTAGAAGGTCTGCAGTAGTAAAGCCTCCAGATTTTCAAGCACCATGAATGGTCTGGTTTACTGCTAAGAGAGAAAGAGAAGCCCTCCATCTGCAGTGAGCACCTATGGATGTTTCTGTCTTGCCAGCAGTTCTGTAGCAGCACTAAGATTAGAAACTGAACACTTTGGTTTATAGTAAGGGGGAAAAAAAAATGAAAAAGCAAAGCATATTCATTTTAAGTCCCAGCTAGAAAATTTTTTGGTAAAACAGCATACAACCACCTGCAGGTCCATGGGGTCTATTATCATCCTTAGGAAGCACCCTCTGTTTCTGCCAGAAAACAGGAAAGCAGGAATTATCCAGGAAAACAGAAAAGTGGAACAGTGGAATGCAGCATGACCAGACCCATCTCACTCTCGCCATCTTCCCTCTTGCCTCCTCCCTCCAGGCTGTCACCGTATTTTGGGGGCCAGTAGTGCTGAACATCCAGAGCCATGTGTCCAGACGTCACAGCTGGAGGTCTTTGGCAGCCCCCCAAGCAGGGCTTTCCACACAAAAGGGCTAGAGTTTCCTTGAGTTTCTTACCAACCCATATTACCATCTCCTAAGGCTTCTCCCCCAGACTAAACAAGCTCAAATATCTCATGAAGGAATAAATGTGGCAGCAGGAGACCCAAGAGACTGTTTTTGACCTGCACAGCTGCTCCCACAAACCCTGCTTGCTGCTTCGACTGCTAACCTGCTGGCTGCTCTGCTCTGCTTCACTACCCTCAGCTCTTCCAGAAGGACCATGAAACCCAGCAAGCTTACACGTCTGTTACTGAACAGACCAAACCAAACCACTGCAGTAAAGGGAAGGCTTCCTATTTCTTCAAAAAACAGCCACATCAAATCCCTGTATCGCAGCCGATCTTTCTACCCAGCGTTAGTTTACCATCAGCCTGAGGAAACAGCAATATTTCAAAGAAAGGCAAAATCTTTGCCTTAGAGTATCTTCCAGCGTTCTTCTGCTCTTTCCTAGAAATGTCCCTTTCCCCTGTTCTGATTTTTAGGGAAAAATTCCCTAAGCACCTTTTGCAGACCAACTGTTTCAGTACAAAAAGTTTTGTGGAGGATTAAAATGCTACAAGCCTTGTAGATGTACGACTGCAAACAGTCACAGATACCCAGAGAAAATGAAATACAAATAAAGCAGGACTTTACTGGAGCCTTTAATGCCACCACATTTCTGAGGCTGATTTTATGGCAAGTCATAATCAGGCACATGAAGCACCTCACAACACTCGAGCTAGGGAGAGAGCCCTTATGAACGATTAAATTTTCAGACCTGCCCAAGCCACAGACACTCCAGATAGGCTGTGATACAGACCGACAGAGCAGCATCCAAGAACTGAACATGCTCCTTGCATGTTCTACACTGGTCCCAAAGGGTAAGGGAGAGACTTGATTTCCAGCAATCAACGACCTCTGCAAATATGGGGGGAATGGATTAAAAATGCCACCAGACAACTCAGCAGATGTGTATGAAGCTGTTCTCCTGTGAAGCTCTTCTGGGATTGTGTTTCATTTCTGCTTCATGAAAAGGAGATTGATTACTACATTACTAGTTTCCTGAAGCTCCCTTTATCAGCTGAAGTTTCGCTGATAGATCTTCCATGCAGGAAACTCAAGACCACAGGATCAAGTTGCTCGGAAGTCGTCAGTTCATACTCTGACAAACTGAGGTTAAACGCTCTATGCCCTTCACAAACCAAATTAAATGCAAAGTAAGGAACAGTCTTTCTGCACATTCATGGAGAGCCATCATGACAGCTGTGCAGTTTGAGGGGAAGCCAAAAACCAGACTGCTGACCAAGAAACAGGCTGCTGGACTTGATCACACTAAAATCCTCTGCACTTTCTAGCTGAATGCCTGCTTGGCATACCTTCCAAGAAGGCAGAGAATAACAGCCCACCTATTCCACCCATTCAGGAATCCTGGTGGCAAGGTCATGTGTCTTATAAAGACAAGATGGGAGTCTGAATCTGCTGAGACATGCCACTGTCATCTGAGGCAGGAGCTGCGGCAAGGCTGATAATGAGAGCAGGAAGATCATGTCTCTAACTATCTCTTTGGTGGTGGGTAAGCCTGAACTGCTGGATCGTAATGGGGAGCAA